CCATCGGAAAGGAAAGGAATCCACGGCAGATTGGAGATGACCCCTTCAACCCCAGGCTCCAGCACTACCAAGTTGGAATTCCATGCTGGAGAGGGAGTGTGGTAGAAGAAGTTGAGATAGGAAAACAAGGCAGAGAAGCACATTTTTAAAAAGTTAAAAAACAAAAACAAGCAGACAAGATGGCTAGGCCATGACCAACCAACCCACTTACCTTCCACCTCTGTGGATAATTCCCCCAGATCTTGATTTCCCCCCTCTCTTTCTCCTTAAGAAAATAATAAGACACATTTAAGCCCAAGGACAGAAAGCACGTTCTCCTCCCACTTCCCTGAAACCTCAAATTTCCTTCCATCTATTTGAGGTTTCTTGGGGTATGCCCTCCGTTTCTAGCCCCATGATTTTCTGCTCTAGGACTTTCGTATCTATACCCCTTCTCCATCAGTTACAATTTTTAGAGGGCTCAGGGATGGTGAGAGATCCTGAAAGTCAGAGCTGCCTATAGTATAAATATATATATTTTTTCTTTTTAGGAAAAGTTAGGAGGCTAAGGCAGGCAAGGACTGAACATTTGCCTGTTCCACAGCCTCTCCTCTCAGCTCCAGGTCCATCCCCCTCTCTCCACAGAAAACAATCGGCCACATAAGGTTCTCCACTTTACTTTTCTTCTGTTGCTCTCTTACTTAACGTGAAAACAGGGTATATTTGAACAAACTGTCTGTCCCAGGCAGGGGCTGCAGCTTGGCCTGTGTGCTTTGCTCAACCTCCTGACAGGACACTTTTGTTGCACTTAGAGTTTACATTTTAATGGATATAAAAACAACTGTGAGAGATGCCTAGGCCTGCAGAAGTCCAGCATCGCTCAAAAAAGTGTGTGTTCTAGTGAACATTTTCATATATATTTATTGGTTATAGCCTGTTAAAATATTTTCTTTTTGTATTATTTATCCCCCCCTACCTTATGTATTTATATGAGGAAAAAAGGAAAAATTGTACTTTTTTAGTATTTACTTGTTATAAGGGACATTGTGTTTTCTGTCATGTAAAACCAGCTATTTTAGTTTTTATCGTACTCTAGGAAAGAGCTGTAGATTTATGTTAAACTCGTACTTATGAGCAATTGTAATTAGTTCTAAAAGGCATGAACTCAGCTCCTAATCGTCACTGTATAGTCTTGAATTTGTAGAGTTAGAGTTAATTCCCTCTTGGAACTTTCTTTGTTCTTCTGTAGTTACTTTTTTTCCTTAAAAGAGTTGTCTGTCAAACAATTCTTGAATAAACTTTCTGTTATCAATTTTATCTTGTCCTGGTGGTCCAATTTAGATAGCAGAGCAAGGCTTCTGACTGCCAAATTTCCCCCATGGGAAGAAGGACATTGAAGATCCTTTCCTAGTCCACTGCTCAGGATCCTATCTCCCCCTTGAAATTTTTCAGGTTTAAATATAGTTTTTCTCACTCATAAGAACCCGGAACACATTCTGTCAACTTCTTTAGCTAAGGTTAAGTAACAAGTTGTGGAAGAAAGGGGGCTCTTGGGTGCTCTCTGTGGGTCTTTTTGTTTAACCTCTTTGCCTCTCAGTTTTTCTCATCCATTGACCTTTTGTCTGCTCCCCCCTTTGGCCGCAATCTCTCTTCAATCCCTCCCCCCACCCCCAGGAAAAAAAAAATCTGGCCGATTACTGCTTCTTCCACAGAACCTAAACTTCACAGTCGTCTTCCGGAGCTACAAAGAAGTCATCACGTGACCCGAAGCCCAACAACCATTGGGTCTAAAATGAAAACAAAGGAAAATGATTAATCTAAAAAAAAAAAAAAAAAAAACCTGAGGCCTAGACTTCTCAGGTCAAACCTTAAAACTAAAGTGAAATTAAATCACTAAATAAAACTTGGGGCAGAGGGAGAGGGGACAAATCCTCTTGCCAGGGAAAGAGGAAAAGAAGGTGGAAGAAGCTGTTGGATCTAAGCGTAAATAAAATGGTCCCCAGGCTAATGTGCGGCTGTTTCCAGGATCCTTGGGAAAACTTCATTTCTTAGTCGGGGTTCCATAAAAGTTTTATCACACTGGAGCGAGGATAGAGAGGGTCTGTCAAAGATGAAATGTCACCGCCGCGTCGCTGGAGCCGATAAGAGCGAGGAGACAGGGTGGCTGAAATATGGAGCTAATTCGTTGAAAGAGAAGCGATGCTTGCTTGCTGAAGAGTTGCATAATTCTAATTGTAAGCGATGCGCCCGCATTGCTTAATTAGGAGCATATATTTGGTGGTAGTGGTGGTTGTGGGGGTGAGAATCATTCCAGGCCCTCAGCCTTAAAGCAGGGCTGATTTTCATTTTTATGTTGCATCCTGGCAGTCCAAGGTTAGTAATTACAGTCTTTATGCAACAATAAATAACAATAAAAAAGCAACCTGAATTCCACATCCCCCCCCCCCCCCAAGTAGGATTTTAACTGGACGGCTCATCCAGGCAGCAAGCAATTTAGCATTGGGTCAGGCTATAATTTAAAGGCAGAAGAGCGTGCAAAGTTTGATTGGGATCAAATAACGCTCAAGGGTCTTTCTTTCTCTCTGTCTTCCTCTTCTCTGAATAACATGTTCTGAATGATGTAACTAGATGAAACGCCATGTTTGCCTCTGGGGGTGGGGTGGATTGCTTATTTTGCTAGCCAGAGAGAAAAGCAGGCCAAGAGAGAGAATTTAACTAGAGTATGAAAAAGCAGAGCTTTGGTTTGAAGCTGGGATGGTAAATAAGAAGGACCTGGCTTAGTGTCCCCTATCCTTCTGTTTTCAAGATTCCGGTGGCTCAGCTAAAACAGTCAAAGACATGGGTAAAATATCTTTGCTTTACCATTCAGCATGCAGGGGAGTGGGGGAGGGATGTCTCCCAGAAGGAGGGCTCTCTTGGCCCCTTTTAACACCCAAGTTTTCCGTTGTTCACTAATCTGGCCATAAAATCTGTCATCGAGGGTTAGAGAGTTGTATTTCCTGCTCAGGGACAGTCTTGGCCTGGGTTGCCTAGGGAAGCCCTGAGTCCTGCAGCCAGCTAGAGGGGCTGTTAGAAAACCTGCAGTGATGCCCAAGGGGCTGACCAGAGAGTGAATCCTTTCTCAGGCCTTGCTGCACAGCTACTGTTTGGATTTTTCCCGGCCTACCCTTATCCACATCTCCAAATGGCAAAATGGTTTTCTTTGGTGCTGAATTGCACACCACCCTCTCTGCCCAGTTGGCCTAGTTCAGAGCAGCTCTCCATGTTCTGAGAGCTCTACAGTCTGTCTCTGCAGCCCCCACCTTCAGCTCCCCCCTTTCCAACCTTCTCTTCTCCACCCCCACCCTTCTACTCAGACTTCTGGGCCCTTCTTTTTAAATACTCACCACCTCCCACGCGGATGTTACATTGACAAAGTTTCTAGCTCCAGCTCCCAGCTGAGTTGCCATTTCTCTGCTAACCAGCCTTCTCCTTAGGGCTGGGTTGCAGTGAACCAGTAGGGGGAGGGGAGGCCAGAGTCGTGGGAGTTCTCCAGGCAAACTTTCCACCCAACTCAGCGCCTTCCCTCTGTCCCCATTTCCCATCTGTTTCCTGGCTCTCCCAGAATCACCTTTCTCTATTGCCACCCCCTCCCCTCAGGCCTTTTTAAGGGATGTGGGATTTCGGCTGTTCCCTCTGCTTTCCCAAAGAGACAAATTCTTTGATGCAATCGGAGGGAGCTGTCAGGGGGCTAAGATTGATCGCCTCATCTCCTCTTGGTCCCTCTGACCCACTCATTTAAAAATCTTCCCCCAGATCGACTTTTCATTTTCTGCTTTGAGGCCTAGTTTCCCACCAACTGCTTGTGGCTCTTGTACCTCCTTCCTCTAGTAAATTGTAGCATTCTCTAAAGTTCAGACTATCTTGGTCCCCTCTAAATAAATAAATAAATAAATAAAGTCCCACTCCAGGGGCCAGAATCATCTCAGTGGTCATATTTCCACTCCCTCCATCTTCAAGAACTCCATCTTTCTTGCCTAGATTTTTTTTTTTCTTATGCTAGCACATGGCAAAAGTGGAAAGGAAAGTCTTTTTGTTCCACTAGGGACTGCTACCCCTCCCCCCCATAGGCAATGACCTGAACTTTGAGAGTTATATGATTGGTTCTTGTTCATGCCCCTAGATATGGATACAGAAAAGGCTTGGGGTTAAGTGGGCATATATGCACCTTCAACCCTCCTGTTGCAGGAGTGAAGGACTTAATAGATAAGTATAGATCCCCAAGAGGAAGGCAGATGGACATAAAGAGTTGTGCTGTAAACACTGGGCAGAGAAGGGAACCCAAGCCCTACAGTTATGGAGGTCAGTGGGCAAAAATGCTGTGGAGGTCCATTTCCCAAGATTTAACAGTTGCTTTAGGGGTTGGGATGGGAGTGGTGGTGCTGATGATTATAAATCTCTTCTGTTTCTTAATCACACCTCAACACTGTCCTTTCCTAAATGGAGGAAACATCTTTCTATTCCTTCTTCCTCCCATAGAGATACTCTCTCATCTCTCTCTCTCTCTCTCTCTCTCTCTCTCTCTCTCTCTCTCTCTCTCTCTGTGTGTGTGTGTGTGTGTGTAAGATAGTGCTTGCTATGTAATAAAAAAAGTATTAATTTACTTCATTAAAATCTTTAGAAGGGAGGAAAATTTCTCCTTCTGATTTGATCTGTTCCTGCAACCTTACAAGGGTGGAAGGAGGAAAGGTCCCTCTAGATTTTCTGGAGAAAGGGAGTCATTGGGGAGACACCGGTTTAGGAATGGGGGACTTATGGTGTCCAGGTCGTGGTCCTCTGGAGTTTTTGAATCAATTAAAGCAAATAATGCTCTGTTTTCCACCAGGCCCAGCCGAGCGATTGGCCAAGGCCGGTCCCGTGACCACGAATTCCCTGCAATTTCGTCGGAGTCCTGGGTTTAATAGAGAGAGTCCCCATACGCTTGTATTTATCAGCAATATACAATTATAAAGGCCCAAATTTTAAAAAAAGAAAGAGAGCGAAATCTCCCCCTCCCAAAATCGTTCCATCGCATAAACCTGGGGGGGGCAGGAGGGGGGGTCCCTTCCGATCCTCCCTCCTGACGCCCCCCCCAGCAGGCCCCCTCCCCCACCATTGAAAGCCATGAATTTTGAATTTGAGAGGGAGATTGGGTTTATAAACAGCCAGCCATCGCTCGCCGAGTGTCTGACTTCCTTCCCCGCTGTCTTGGAGACATTTCAAACTTCATCAATCAAGGAGTCGACATTAATTCCTCCTCCTCCTCCTTTCGAGCAAATCTTCCCCAGCCTCCAGCCCGGCGCCTCCACCCTTCAGAGACCCGGGAGCCAAAAGCAAGCCGAAGATGGGCCTGCTCTGCTGCCACCGCCGCCGCTCCCCACCGCCCCCCCAGCCCCCGAGTTCCCCTGGATGAAAGAGAAGAAATCCGCCAAGAAACCCAGCCAATCCGCCGCGTCTCCTTCCCCGGCTGCCTCCTCCGTCCCGGCCTCGGGGGTCGGATCGCCTGCAGGTCGGTAAGCGTGTTGGGGGTGGGGGTAGAGTGTAGCTAGAAGACAGAGGGAGAAAGAGCAGCGGGGGAGGCCAAAAAAAAAAAAAAAAAAAAAAAAAAAGCAGCAAGCCTGTTGGGGTTCCCTTGCTCGGTCAATTCTCAGTCAATTCTCGGGATGGGGAAGCAGAATGTCCCGCTGAGGCTCAGGCCTGGCCGCTGCCAGATTATTTTTTCCTACAGTAGATTTGGAAACTGGTTGGTGAAGAGTCCCCCCCCCCCCCATGGTAGAAGAAAAGGATTCGATTGAGGAATCTGTGTAGAGGAATGAGTGTTGTTGGGAATGAATCTGGGGCAGGTATAGATGCGATCCTCCTCCCTCTCGCAACCCGAGGAGGGCAAATTTGAGAGCTAGAAAGGAAAAGAGGTGAAGAACAATCTGTGAAAGCTCTCCCGGGGTTGAGTTGGAAAGTTCATTGGGAAAGGGTATCTGAGATTCTGGGAGAGAAAAGGAACAGCTCCCCGCCCTCTCTGTGGCCCGCAGCCGGCTCTGAATGCTTTGCCCTGACCCTGGCCAGGTCTGCCAGCGAGGGAGGGAGCGGAAAGAACCGAAGAGTAGTGAGAGCAAACCGTTTTGCTGGGGGTGCGGGTGGGAAAGGGAGGCTCCTGATATTGTTTTTGGAGGATGGGGTAGTCTTGATCTCTGCTGAACTGAAGTTGGGATGAAGACAGGACCCGCTGTGACGCCCAGCCTGCTTTTCAATAGATGGCCCGGGACTGCCCGACGCGGGCGGCGGCGGGGCGCGCAGGCTGCGCACCGCCTACACCAACACGCAGCTGCTGGAGCTGGAGAAGGAATTTCATTTTAACAAGTACCTGTGCCGGCCTCGTCGTGTGGAGATCGCGGCCTTGCTGGACCTCACCGAAAGGCAGGTCAAAGTCTGGTTCCAGAACCGGCGCATGAAACACAAGAGGCAGACGCAGCATCGAGAACAGCCCGACGGGGAGCCAACCTGCCCCGGTGTCCTAGAGGAAATTGGAGACCCAGCTGAGGAACCAGCGGCCAGCCCGGGAGGCCCCTCTGTTTCTCGCGTGGTGCGGGAAGCCTGCCTTTATCCCGCCGAAGTCGCGCCGGGCCCCCCAGGCCCTGAGCCTTTGGCAGCTCACTTGGAGGGTGCGGGTGCTCAGAGCCCTGACTGCGCCCTGCGCAGAGCCGGCGGCCTGGAGCCGGAGTCATTGCCAGAAGACGCTTTTCCGGAGCGGCAGGATTCGCCTTTCCTGCCCGACCTCAACTTCTTTGCCGCCGACTCTTGTCTCCAGCTGTCCGGAGGCCTTTCCCCCAGTCTACAGGGCTCGCTCGACAGTCCAGTCCCCTTTTCAGAGGAAGAGTTGGACTTCTTCACGAGCACGCTTTGTGCCATAGACCTGCAGTTTCCCTAACCCGTTTCATCCCCCGACCCTTTCCACCCCCGTCCTCCACTGCCTCTGTTGGGAAAATCGAGCTTCCTCCACCCCAATTGCATTTACTTATGTGTTTTGCTAAAATTCAGGTATTATTGAATTAGTGTTTAATCTACTTCCCTTTTTGTTTCTCTTTTTTAAAATCACACAGAAAAACTCCGTTTGTTAGACTACTTCCAACGAAATCTCAGGAATAATTAAACTCTAGGGGGGGTTTCTTAAAAGGAATTAGAGGGACCTATTTTCCTCTTTTTTTTTTACGTTTTAGACTGTAGTTTATTTATTAAAATTCTTTAATAATAGGAAAAGGGGAAAGTATTTATTGTACATTATTTTCATAGATTAAATAAAATGTCTTTATAATATGAAAACGAGTGTTTGTGTTGGGACCCAGCCCTTCCCGGTCCCCAGGGCCCCTTCTCACTTCTCCAGGACCCATATGAGGTTGATCTGGTTCAGTGGCCCAAGCCGTGGCAAAGACCAGGGGCTGGCAAAGTCCGGGTGGTACAAAGGTAGCTCCGTTTGTTGGCCATTTCTTGACCCACGGCTCCAGGACGAGTGGGGGTTTCCTAGATGCTTGGTCACCTTGTCTCCAAACCGACAAGGTCCTGCACGAGGTTCCCAGTGACTCTGCTTAGAAATAAAGGTGGACGGTGGAAAGAGAGGGTGTGCTGTGAGCAGAAGAGGACGCAAGGAGAGGAAGCCTCAGGGACAGGCCTCGGGAAAGCAGAGTTTTTGCTTAATTAGGAGGGGGTCCAAGGGCTTCCCAGACTTCCATTCCCTAAGCCGGTGGAGGGGCTTTTTTAGGAACTTCAAAAGCCTGGGGACGCGAGGCCTGGGATGTGGAGCCAGACTTCCTAGGGGCTGTCGGTGGCCACGGAGTGGAGAAGGGTTTTCTTGAAAAGCTGGGCCCCTTGTCCAGAAATGGTAACAACTGGCCTCCAAGTGGACAAGAAAAGAGGCCGGATGAGAAAAGTGGCGAGGCCGAATACCGACGTTCCTAGGTCTGTGCTGTCAACCCGGGGTCCTGGGAATGGGAGAGCATCCCAGGAGCGGCGGGGCAACAGGACGAGGCAATCGGAAGGCGTTCAGGGAAGGAAGGAATAGCGAGGAGCGTGGGAGGGAGATGGGAATGCAAGGAAGATGCTCAAAATGGCGCTGGGGCCAGGCAGCCGGGAGGGCGAGGGAAGAGATTGTGGCGGCCATGACAGCCGCTGCTGGACGCGCTGCTGGACGGGTCCAGTCCCGGTCCGCCCCCCCCCCCTTCTCCCTGCGGGGTGTTCCAGATCAGAGGGGAGAAAAGAGGGCCTGGGGGGCCGGATTTTTTTTTTTTTTTTTAATGATCCCAATGGATGCTGAGGACCCGAGATGGAAGGAGAATCCGCGTGGGGTGTGGGAAGGAGGATGGCAAGTGGGGGTCTTGGGGCCTGGCTTGGCCTCGCCAAGTATGACTTTTTATCATGCGCTCTGGGATTTGAAGCCCGGCCAGAGCTTTCTCCAAATGCAGACCCACCTGTCTTGGCCAACAACTTCATTTGCCTTCTCAACACCAGTTCCTACACCCCCACCCCCCACACCGCGCCCTTCCTGGCTCCTGGTATAGCTGGTAAGCTCCCTGCAAGGATCGATCTCCCCCCATCTGCTTCCTGGTTTGTTCTCGCGAACATAGAGATTTAAAGGACCCTGGAAAGCCATTCATCGTCCTTCGGTTTATTTAATATTTCTCCGGCTCAGAAACAGACACCGCAGGGCTACCTCCCTGGCAGATGCTGCAGTTCTTTGAAAGCAGTTTATTTCCTGGGCCTCTTAGACTTTCCCCTGCACCAGCAGGATGGGGACTTAGAGTATCAGGCACCGAGAGGCAGCAACTGACAGAATAAGCCAAGAGCCAGCATAGGTGGTGACATATAGGACTAGGCAGGCCCAACGAGTATTTCTTTAACTGGCCCCTCAGTGCAGGAAGTACACATATTTTATTCAGCTGAAATTTAATCCCTTAAACTGTCTTAATATAGAATTCATCTCGTGCATTAAATAATCTTATGTCATGTTAAATTGCAGTTATTTCTTTCATAAATAAATTAATATAGAACAATTAGATGTGTTATTGTAATAATATCGTGTATCTTATTAGTTTATTTTCCCTCATAAAATATATAGGTATGAAATAAATTCAATATATTAAAGTAATAATACACAGCTTATTGGCTTGTGTGTTTATTTTCCCCATAAATAAGTGAATATACAATATATTAAAACCACACTATACATCTCATTGGGCTGCGTGTTTATTTCTCCATAAAATATGCCCACAGGCAGTGTTTAACATCTTAAAAATCACAGCACATAAGCTGTCTCTACACCAGCAAAATGAAAGAGACATTTCAGCTGGAGCTTTGATTTCTATGGACAGCCAAACTAGATAATTTGGTCTAATTAAAAATGCTCTTGCAGCTATAGCAGGTTGTTACAAAGATCAAGAATACCAGAAAGATCTCACTAATTAACCTCCTTCCAGCTTTCTTTGGTCAAAAGGAGAGCACCCTTTATCAATGCCAAAAAATGCAGGAGCTGCTGTGCTGGAAAGAAACCCCATCCAGGGATCATGGTCTGTGCTACTCAGGGGGCTCTGAGGCTCCCATGCTCTAGAGACTGGCTGCTCCATAGGCCAGCAGCATAAGCATTACCTCTGAGATAGTTAGAAATGCAGACCTACTAAATCAGAATCTTTAAATTATCAGGTCCCTAAGTGATTTATAGGCATATTAAAGTTTGAGAAGAAATGCTAGACCACAGTATCACTTTGCTTCTTGCCTTCTTCCATGCTTAAGAATTTTTAATCTATTTTATGTGGCTACTACCTTCCAATCTTTTAAATCCAAACCAGGAGCCCAAAGGGCAGGGAATCTCAGCTGCTGCCTGCATCAGTCCTGATTCCTCCTGCCAAATGACTGGAGATCCAAGAGAGTCCAGCCAAAGGCTCTATAGGTTTAGATTTATGCATTCCCACTTTCCTGGGGGTGAGAAGAAATAGGGAGATTCAGCATTTCCCTTGGCTAATTATTAGAGAGGAGTTGGGATTCTTTTTACAGGAAACAGATAAGGTTTTCTATTTCTGTTCTTTATTTCTTTTTTAAAAATATTTTAAAATTGTAGATAAACATAATGCTTTATTTTGTTTATTTAGCTTTATGTGGTGCTAGGGATTGAACCCAGGGCCTCACACATGCTAGGCAAGTACTCTACCACTGAGCTACAATCCCAGCCCCTCTGCTTCTATTCTTTCACAAACTCACCATCTCTGGTGATACCATCAAAGAATAAAGAGGCAATGTATTTCCAGAAGGAAATGACTCCCATCTTCAATCTCTCCACCCAAGCTAATGTCAAATCCAAGGGAATGCTTGCCAATGTGGGATTCATAAAGAGATGGGACTTGGGATGTTTGTGTTCCAGATGGTTTACTTTTTGCTGTTTTCTCTCTGGGGTCATCCTTTTTAGCTACAACTTTAACAGTTGGCTATGGAGAAGGAAGGGAAAGAGGAGTAGTTCCTAGATGGAGCAGTAAACCTGCCCATGGCAGCAGGCTACAGGACAGTGCCAGGCAGCTATACCCACTTCTCCCATCCATATTGGGGCAGGACATCTCCTGAGTTAGGACAAAATTATAAGTGGTCTGTAGCATAGACAGTTTATGAATTGACTGGTTGGACTGGGAAGGTTTCAGTAGAGACAAGAAAGCTGCTGGTCAATCTGCCCTACTGTTGGTGAATCATTCATATAAGAAGAATGGTTCATTAATATTATGGTAAAAGAAAGGACCATTAGCTCAAAGAATGACTTGCAATTGTGACAACCTGGAGTCATTTTTTAAAAAATTAATTTATGCCTGGTCAAGTCCCTTCCCCTCTCTGGATCTCAGTTTCTCTTCTGTGATGGAAATTGAAGAATTAAATATTTCTAATGTATTCTGCATTGATATATGCCCAGAGTATATTTGTTAGTTTTCACAATCAGTCCATTAAATATTTATAATGCTTGGAGTTATAGGCTCTTAAGTGACTCTTTGTGTTTGATAATAACCTACCTACTACTTTCCTGATTGGGACCATTTTAACAGATTTTAATTTGTATCTTTATACCCCAAATCATGCCCCCAATCATTAAAAGAGTAGAGAGAGAAATCTTTTCAACATGCATGTCATTGGGTGCAGTGTGATGTGTCAGGAATTCAATAAATATGAGTATACAGAAGTATTGTAGCCAAGTCTCTCTCTGGCTTTCATCCTCTGCCACCTTCCTCAATGTAAGGCTATACTTATTCTTTTTTAAAAGAGAGGAGGCCATTTTGAATAAAAAGAGCCACTAAACTTCTTATTTGACATGGTATAGTAGATTTTATCTGGTTACTAGGCATCAGGAGCATAGTCACAAATTCTGTTTTTCCCTGAATTCCTAATTCAGCCCTACTGACTTCTCCTAACCACTTTTCCTTCAGGTCACTGACAAGAACTGGCCCCACTGCATAATTCCTTGCTTTCAGTTAAGGGCAGAAGGTGGCTTCTAGGGTGTCTCTATGTCTCCTTTGTTTGCTGTGGCTGCTTTAGTCCAGATCCTACATTGACTTCTCCAGCCAAGCTCTGCTTTCCTGCCCATATACTCTTTCCACTCTCAGTGCTAAGAAAGGTAGTTAATGCTTGAAGGAAAACTAATAAACTACTCTCCTCAGTGAAAGGAGTCCCCTTAAAACCTTCTGATAGAGGTTGGGGGGTGTAGCTCAGTGATAGAGCTCCTGCCTATCTGTAGCATGTTAGAGGCCCTGGGCAAAACAACAACAACTACTAATACAACAACACCTTCCCTAACCCCCAACTACCACAGAAAAGTCACAGTATAGACAATCATTCAGATCCAAATTCAGCTTGACCAGTGTTTGATAAGGTTTCCAAAGTGGATATTTTGGTCCAAACTATCACATTTGGATAAACCTGGGTAAGTGGAAAATTATTTCAAATCTTCATGTCACTCTAATCTTTTCTTTTAGATCCCAATCAGGGTAGTGAATGTAGCTCAAAGTGGTACAGCACTTGCCTTGCATGTGTGAGGGAGGTTCTGAGTTCAATCCTTAGCACTGAAAAAAAAAAAATTCCAATCATTATTTAATAATGCCTCCAATCGTTTTTTCAGGTCTTAGAAGTCAGGTTCAACCCTTTCCCCCTCTGGAACAGACATTAAGCCTCAGGAAAAAGAGACAACTTCTTTCCTAGCCAACTTTACCCAAATATTAGGAAAAAAAGGAAAGTTATTTCTAATATATTAGCCCGGCAGTTATTTCTAATATATTCAACTGTAAACCTTTCTGGTA